TGTCATGGTTTCGTGACTGTGCAAGGACTTCCAGTTCTTCCTGCTTGTTTCCTAGGCTCCGTGCATTCGTGTATACACACCTGAGGCAGCTAGACAATTGCCCTACTTTTTCAGGAAGAATGAGAATGCTTACCTTATTGCCCCCTCCTGCTTACGCTTCCTTCAGATCATCTACTTCCCAACTTACCTCTGGGTTTTGGTTCCCTTCCTCTGATGAACATAGTTTAAAGCCCTCCTCACTAGGTTAGTGAGCCTGTCTGCAAAGGTGCTCTTACCTCTCTTTGTTAGGTAGTGGTAACCTTCTCTTCCTAGCAGTCCTTCTTGGAACAACATCTCTTGGTCAAAGAAACTAAAGTCCCAGTCCCCTTCACCCTTGCATCCAGAGACCTGTAGTCACTTTTGATCTGCTTGGGGTCTCCCTTGGCAGTATCATTGTTGCTCACATAGATGAGCAGTATGGGGAAGTAGTCAGAGGGCTGGATGAGTCTCAGTAATCATTCTGTGATATATTTGTTCTCCAGGCAAACAGCTGGAGGTGGACATGAAGATTTCCGTTTGCTGCCAGAGGTCACAAGCTTCAAGCTTTCACCATTTTGGGAGTCCATGTCCTCTCCCTTCTCTAGCACTTCCTTTGGTAGTCCTTCCTCCACAGCCTAAAGGTCTCCTTCAGCATAGAATCAATGAAGTCCTCCTGGCGGAGGATGCTTTGGAGCCTTGCCACCTCCTGCAGCTCTCTTGCCTCCTGCCTGAGGGACAGCACAAGGAGGCACCGGTCACATCACAGGCAGTCTCCCACCTGACTGTCACTGGAAGAAACGTGCAAGCTGTAGTCTCTACAGTACCAAACCAGGACCTGGGTGCAAGCTTCAACAGTGAGCGGTCCTGCCTGGACAGACACCTAACAGGTGCAAGCAGAGGCAGTGGCGGTGGCTCTGGCATTGCAACATCCTTCAGCCATTTCTCTGCGTCTCAGAGGAAGAACTGGTCCAATGTACGGCCTCTCTACCTGCCCCAGCTCAGGAAATACATAGTGCCACTTTCCTCCCTTCTCCCAGGGGGCCCAGAGAAGGAGCCTCTGCAGGGCATCTAGTGCAACCCAGGTGGGAGGCAGGAGCACCCCTGTCCAACCCATCCCCTACACATCCCTCAGCTGCCTGTCTTGCTGCCCTTCTACCAAGTAGACTTTCCCTAGCAAACTAGCCTATAAGCTGGTCTTTTTACTGCTCCTTGGTCCTGAAAGGTTCCTTTTTCCCTACTTCCTCTCACCAAGCTTAAAGGCTTCCCTTCAAAGAGGGGGAGGGAAACTTACCTGCAAAGTGTTTGCAAGCTGCTTATCTTGTTTGCTACCCCTGTTTGCTTGCTGTGCGTTTACATTTTAGACATGGCTTGCTGCATATGTAGCTGCATTTCAGTGATGCATGTTTATAGATCTTTTTTGTAAAGCCCTCTGGACTAAAAACATACCACCATGTACAGAAGTATTTCACCAACTTATTGCAGCACTCACTTTCCCCCCATAATATTATTTTATTCTCCCAACAATCTAGCTATAACACTGATTTATAAAAATATTGCATACTTACCAGGACAGCAATTCGTTACTTTATATTTAGAATAATTAGAGAAGTTATTTATTCTCTTTGAAGCATTCATATTTAACAGCTAAGTCATATACCAACTATTAAAATGTTATGGGAAAAGTTTATTTCTAAACAGGTTATCCTATATATCAGCTGCGAAGTTTCTTAAAACTTCCTTGTAATCATGTGATATTAACCAATATTACATCTAGGCTGTTGTGGTGTATAACATTGGTTAATATCACATGATATTATAGATCTAATAATAGACAATTAGATAAAGTATGAGATTTCCGGCACTTCTAAATGCCAATAGAAAAACACTGCCCTTTTTCCACAGTTTATGGGAAAGAAGCTGGAGGAACTAAACCTTTCAGTAGAAAGCAACATGCTGAAATTATTGTACAAGTGGTAGCTGGGAATCTGGAAGTTCATGTCTTGATTTACTGTGGCTACTTAAACATTGCATAAAATCAGCTAGAACATCAAGGAGTAATTCTGTCCTGTGAAAATATGGAAACTGATAACATGAAGAAAAATATAATACTATGTTTATCGAGGTAGAGCAAAGGTAATTTTAATATCACTAAGGTTTTTCGGGGTTTAAAAAATGATCACTGCTTTTACTTGAATCTAAGTCAACCCTGAATTTAAGACCACCTCCCCGCTACAGCAGGGACGGCAGTGGCTGTGGGAGGGGTGGGTTTAGATGGCTCCTTAACCCTCTGCTTCCCCTGCAGCCTTCCTGCCCTGCCACCAACACCCGCCACAGCCTCTGCCTCTTTACTGTCAGAGGCTGCTTGGGCTCT